ATAATACATACATACATACACATATTATCAGCTTATTTTTATTTTGCTATTTTCTTTACAATTAACTTAGATATATGAATTCAGCTAGCAAACTGACCGTATATGCTTTCAAAATTGTACTTCTTTACTTTTTACACACTTCTTTACTTTTACTCATAAGTTCTTAGAAAACCTATTGTTCTTGTTATTCACTGGAGGTAAAACTTTGTCTGTCAGTGAGGGAAGAAAGCTGTGTAGTTGTACTTAGACAACAATTTTATTCATTAGAAAGATAGCTTATATTTCATAGTTATAATCTCCCTTATTTCCTAATGGCAATGAACAGTCAACTGGATAGCACTTGTCATCCTGGGAAAATGTGACGTTATAGTTTTAGGTACATAATGTGATGTTTTCCAAGAATGGGACAGAATTACAGACAGATTGATAGTGATTTTGGAACAATTACAGCTTTCTCTACATTAAGATTACGAGCAAACATTTCCAGTAAAGACAGTTAGTTGTCCTTTGTGTTAAACCAATAAATACATTGTTGTTTTCGGTTGAAAATAAAGTTTGTTTTCGCTGTGTGTTTACATTTTTGTCCAGTCTCTTTCTTCGTACAAGCTCAGATAGTTTCAGAGACATTCGGAATTACTTTGCAACATTTTCTGATAAAACCTCCCACTATCCCTAAGTGCAGGGGTGGGGTTCAAAGTGTGCAAGCCAATACTTTTTACATAGGATCATTCAACATGTTATTATGTGTTTGATGTCAGAGTTATGAACTCTTCATTTTAACATACATTGCTTATTTAATAACAGTTCGTAGTAGAGGAGAATAAAAACTATAAACAATATATAAGTTCTAGATGTTATGCAAATGCAATAGACAAACTGTACGGTGGACAAAAGTATTTTTATTCTTCACATGAACATCAACTTGTGTGTGAATCTGAGTCAGACTAACTTTCTGATGATATTTGGGCAAAGAATATCACTTGATAGCTTAGAAAGGGCCACAGCGCCTTTTCAGTTGAGTTTTCAAACATCTAGCTACCATATTCAGTTGTGCAAACCGCTGACGTTTTAAGCATTACCTCTACTAGCATTAGCCATCCTAAACTGTGGTAACTGAGCAAATGTCATCCAACATCCTCCAAATATCTCTTACAATGAAACTCTGCTCCATAGGTCAGAAAGTAAGTCCTTTTGGTCCAGCTGATCTGACGATCAAGAAATCATCCTAACTACTGGTAATTGAGTAATAATCGTACAATGTAGTACAAATAGCATTCATTGCTTTCCAAGTTATTGGATTGTATTTTCTAATGATATGTATAGTATAGGTTTAAGTATGCCTATAATATAGGCTACAATTTGTATGATGATGGACCTAGGGTCTAGAAATAAAGTTATAACTGTAATTAAACCTGAAGTCTAGTACATTAGTTGGTGTAAGACATGATTTACAATCAGCCAATACAATTACAAACTACTACATTAGGCCTATAATGTTTATTAGATCTAGATCTTGCTTGTTGCATATATTGCCAATCTTGCACACCAGTTAATATGTTACATCAATCTTGTATTTTCGTTTTGTTGAACATACACTTACTTGTACGTTGTACTCTAGGACTTGTATTTGATCTACAGATGAATGATGGAATAGTGTAATTTACTTCTGTACGTCAATTCGGTCTCACTGTATTTCAATGGGCGGCTTTTAAAAATTAAAACTGCAAGCATAATACATACAGATAACGTAACACTGTGTCGTATTTACTTAACGTAGGGCAGTTGCGCTATATCCTAGGGGAGGGCATAATTATTAATTAATAGGCATTATAGGCCAGAGGAAATTTTGCGCCCCTTCACACATGCGCCCGGGGGCGACTGCCCTCTTGCTACGCCACTGCACCTGAAGCTACACTTTGTATACTTGTGGGAAAACAGTTTAAGATAGGGAGCAGTTTTCTCCATTGGTTAGGTCAAGTAACATCTCCAGGCTAGAACTTCCCTTACATTTTAATGGGAATGAACAGTCACGTGGGCAAGCCTAGTTGCCCTGGGAAAATGTGACATTATAGTTTGAAGTATATTAACATATTTTCCCAGACTGGAAGAGACTTTTACAAAAAACATTGTGTGGAATAAGCTTAGAGATTTCTCACTCTCCAGTTAAGCAACTATCCATTGTTAATTGAGGAGTAAAAATTATTTCATTTTACTCTTAAATTGTGTACAGTCTCTTTGTCAGAGTCAGATAATTCAAATTACTCTGTAGTAAATATTTTTAAAATTTTTGTATGGGCCTATCTTATTCACCCATGAGGGGAAATCAGTTTTAACAGAGATTACCCCAGAGTGGGTTAAAAGAAAAGTTTGGTGTCAAGGTCACAGGATATATTACTGTAGTTTTCTCTTGAGACTCATACTGCCCTTTTTTATACCATTGTGTTATTGAGTTAAAACACCTTTCTTTCTTTCTTGAGGAAATTACATTTTCCATGAGTGGAAGGACTTGCACCTAAAGGAAGAGTCAGTTATTAATAGGAGATGGTTGTTCAAGAGAGTTATCAAATCTAGGAGAAGTCCTCTCCTGGATTTGGGACTTTTGCCATTGCTGCAAAGGTTTATCCTTTCTTTCTCATTACAACCAATGACTCGGAAAGGAGAACTTCTGACATCCAGTGCATCCAAAATGG